GGGCGAGGCGAGCCTTGTGGGTGCTGTGGTGGGCTCCCCCGCTCCCACAGGCCTACGTCATTTGTCTCGTGTCCTGGGTACATCCAGCACAGATAGGAAGTAACCAGGGCTGGGGTGGTTCTGTCCCTGCCTGAGCCCTGCTTGTGTCGCCTCCGCAGGAGTAGCTGCCTGCACTTCTCCTTCCTGAGCCTGGACAAGCACCGGGAGTGGCTGGAGTACCTGTTAGAATTTGCTCAGGATGCAGCCCCAATCCCGAACCAGTACGACAAGCACTTCATGGAACGGGACTACACTGGGTACGTCCTGGCCCTGAATGGCCACAAGAAGTACTTCTGCCTCTTCAAGCCCCAAAAAACAGTGGAAGAAGAGGAAGCGCTGGGGGCGTGCCGTGACCTTGACTCCTCCCTGCACCCAGGGGACGCTCGCGGGAAGTCTTCCTGTGGCCTTGGCTCCAAGCCCATCAAAGGGAAACTGAGCAAGCTGTCCTTGTGGATGGAGCGGCTGCTGGAAGGCTCCCTGCAGAGGTTCTACATCCCTTCCTGGCCCGCTCTAGACTGACTGCGGACCGAGCCCCGAGCTGCGGAGACTCGGTCAGAGGCCCACGGTCTCCTCAGGACGCCCCCCGCCGGCCGAGCAGAGTGTAGGTTTTAGGTTTAGAGCCAAGGCAGAGGACCCTGTGCTGTGTCCTGTCCCAACCCAGGAGTCAAAGACACCAGTGAGTTTCAATTCCCTAGATTGGAAGCACTTCCCTCGGGTTTATCTCCCCTCATTTGAATGCTGCACTATTTAAAACAGACGGCTGCTCCCTCTTCTTTTGTTGTCCCTGTCACGCGCTCACACCACCCTTTCCCGGGGCTCGGGACAGTGCCTAGACAGAGCCGCGGGAGCCCATGGTGCAGCTCGGGTCGCTTACCCACCGCCAGAGCCTCGCCCAGCCTCTCCCCACCCGGTCCCTGCCGCGCTTCTGCCATGGCGCACACTGTCAACAGCACACAGCCCCCAGGAGCTTCCAGACCCTGCACCTGCAAGGAGGCCTGAGTCCGAGCAGTCTCTCAGGCAGTGATGCTGGCTCTGGGCTAACGTGGCAAAGAGCGTATTTCGGGGGTGTTGTCCCCCACAATCATCTGTCAGCAGCCACATATTTCAAAGAAAGGAAATATTCTACAGGAGAGTTTGGTTTTTTCTTCCCAAGGCAGGGGAAGAGAGAGCCGGGCAGTGGCCAAGGGGATGCATCCCTGTGACCCTCGGAGCCGTGTCCCCTTGGCATTCCCTATACCCCCACCAGCGCCCTGCAGCCCCAAATCTGCCAGGGCAAGGGGCTGCACAGCACGCAGTACTATAGTGATGCGGAACCATCCGCACATATGTTTTTGGATGCCTTTCTGCCTCTGTCGGTTTGGGGTACGGATACCAGGAGCCATAATCAGGATCTCAGTTCTGTGAGTGCAGGGATGAGCCGTCGCAAAGACCCAGCCACCGGGGGCCAGACTGGGAGACCTCCTCAGCCTGCCATGGCCACCCAGCTACATCCCAGACACGTCTTCGAATCAAGAGTCTTGCGATTTCTCACCGGTCATATTTTGAACACTGCAGCCCCCAAAGTGCCGAATCCTCAAGTCTTTTGTGACAAGCGAGCCGAGATTGGTTCTAGACTCCTGTCTCTCCAAGGCTTCCTTCCCGCTGCTGGCGTGGGTGGGCTTGTCTCATCTTGATTGTTCTGACTCTTAGAACCACCTCGCCAGATCTCACCCTCTGAGCTGGCTTGCTGAGCTCCCTCGTGTGGACCCCAGAGCCGTCAGCTAGATGGCGTGGGTACCCTCCCTTATGGGCAAAGCACCAGTGGCATCGGGACCCCTGCCGAAGAGCGAGCTGTTCACATGCAGGAGGGGAAGGGTGAGTTCAGTAATAGGACGGTTCCTCGGTTCCTGTCCCCTTCATCATAATTGCTTTAAACTAAGCCACTTGGATCCTGAATAATTTAATAACAAGCTACAGTGGTTAAGTAATAAATTATTTGAGCCGAGAAATTGCTAGTTTTCATGGAGTCTGTATGTAGCTTTATTTTAAAATGAAGAAACCACTTCGCTAGGGTTCTCGCTGTGAGCGCTGTGGCTCCGGGCCACTGGCCCAGTTAGCAGTGGTCAAGGAATTCTTTGGCTCCTTGAAATGCCCGTCTCCACATCACTCCCTGGGTCACTCAGAACCCGACAGCTTACAGGAATACTGCTTTGGTTCTGTGGTAGGCTTTTATTCGTAATTTTGGTACAAATGAGATTCCTGACTTAATCCCCTGAAAACCCAAAGCTTCCCCAGATGTGCTTTCTTTAAGCTCCTTGTCCTTCAGCCAGCCATGCCTTCCTTCTGCATTCGGGAAGGACCGTGGGCTACGGGACTGATGGTGTTCCTGGCAAATAGTTCCCAGCAGAAATTTTGCAGACACTGTAGGAGGCTGGCAGGTGTGTCCCTGTGAGGACCCGTGGGAACTTCTCCATGGAACACACCATCTGCACCCTTCCTCCCAGCTGTTTCCATGGACTTTGCTTACCTCTGTGTCAGACATATGAGCCATCATCCTGCTCAGCCAGTGCCACCATCATCCTCAGACGTGGCGGGGCAGCTCTCTAGTCTTCCAGAATCGACCTTAGTGGGGTTCTCTGGTTGCCACTGACTATGCACCCCATTAGCAGACGGGCAAACACTGACCCGGACCAGGTCCATGGAGAATACCCACCCCTTTTTGAAAGTGATTTTTTTTTAATTGCTCAGGTATGATTTGCACCACCAAGCTGCTACAGAGGGTGTTGGCTGCGACGAGCAACTGCGTGAGCAGGACAGCCCCGTGGCGGATGCCCACAGCCCCATAGCCGTCCCCGGGCACTGGGAGAGCTTGGCCGTGGTGTCCACCCGAGTCAGTGCCCCGCCTCACATGCAGCCCATTTGTGTTGGTGCCCTTTGGTCGTTGGTGCCCTTTTGTCCCCAGTGAGCAGCTGCCATCAATACAGCAGTTTCTCCCCGATGCAAATAAAAGGCAGCGAGCCCTCTCTGTGTTCTCAGGGGCTTGTTTGACTTGGGATGTAGGGGTTAGACACCAGCTCTCAGTATAGCGACTTCTCTCACACAAACCACCCTTAGAGAGGAGCTGTAGTTCACACGCAGTACCCCTCGTCGTTGTCCCCTGAAAACAAACTGCACCAGCTGCCACGCCCGCACGGCCTGTCCAGCCGGCCATCGTGCGGGAGCAGACCTGGAAAGCGGGTGGACCTTTTGCACTTTGGATTCTCTTAGGAAACAAACAAGTTAACTTAGCAAATTGTCTGTTTTATGTGTTGGGCTTTGGTTTGTTGGTTTTGTTTTTGTACTGTGAACACTGACGCTGATGTCATTTTAAGATTTACAGACTGGAATCGGAAATAAACTATTTTAATGTGTGATGGTTACAGGGAGGCTCTTGCGTCCCAGGATGATGATCTCATTGCGGATACATTTGCGACAAAGTGCAGTGTGCCTGTATCTCGGCAGGTGGTTGCCAGCCAGTGCATACAGCTCAGCCACAGGTTTCAGGAACCGGCTGTGTTGGCATGGCGGCCACACGGGCTGGAAGAGTAGGTGGCACAAAACAGGCCAGGAGCAAGGAAGGCAGTCATTTCAGCAGAGGCCTGACTGCTGTGGTCTGGTTTAGGAGACATCTGGGGTGTGTTCTCCCAGGCTTCTCAGCAGGAAACTTCTTTGCAAGGATCCACTTTCCCTTCCCCCTGCAGCGCCTCCCAGCCCCCACCCGGAGCTGGCCTGACCACAGCCTGGATGCTGGAACTTCGGCCACTGCTGATGTGGAACAACTAGGACATGAACTGGTGCTCATATGGGATGCCTACATCATAGGTAGAGACTTAGCCTAATACAGCATGGTGCAAAACCTCCAGTTGTTTTTTTTTTTTTAAGATCTGTTTTTATTTGTGAAGAGATTAACAGAGAGAAGAGAGAGGTAGAGATCTTCCAGCTGCTTCACTTCCCAGATGTGCACCATTTCCAGAGCTGAGCTAATCTGAGCCAGGAGACTCTTCCATGTCCCTCACATGGAAGCAGGGGACCAAGAACTTGAGCCATCCTCCACTGCTTTTCCAGGCCATAGGCAGGGAGCTAGTTTGGAAGTGGAGCAGGTAGGACTCGAACCAGCTCCCATATGGGATGTTGGTATTACAGGTAGAGGATTAACTTGCTAAGCCACTCCACTGACCCCATCCAGATGTTTGTTTGTTTCACCAAGAGCAGAGCCAGCATTCAAACCTAGGTGTTAAAGCAGCAGAAAGAGAAGAGAGACACAGATTTTCCATCTGCTGATTCATTCTCCAAATGGCCACAATGACTACGCTGACTCGGGCCAAGCCCAGGAGCCCAGAGCTCCATCCCCATCTCCACAAGAGTGGAAGGGGCCCGAGCACTTAGACCCGCTGCTGCTGCTTTGCTAGGTGCATTAGCAGGGAGCGGGATCAGAAGCGGAGCAGCTGGGACTCACACAGGCTGTGGGCATTGTAAGCAACAGCTTCACACACCACAGTGTTGGCCCTGAAGCCTTTTAATTTATGCTCACAATGATCTGAAAACCTAGATGCAGCTCTGAGTTCCCCAAAGGGGCAGCTGTGTCAGTCCCCTAGCAATAGACTTCCTTCAGAAACATTTCATGCGTTGTATTTATTTCGGTCCTCTAGTCTTCAGATAACCTTGAATGACCTTCTTCCATCCTCTTTTCCTTCTCCTACCCTACCTAGCATGCGTCATCTGAGGGAGAAAGCAGTAGGAAGGCTTCCTTGGTTTTAATTCGGCTGCAACTCTGGAAATGTGAGCCTGCAGCTGAGAGTTCGCACGCCGATGGTCCAGCCAGTGGCAACATGTCCACCACGAGTTTCTGTTGGCACGAATTCCATGGGACTTACACTGCTAGTTCGTAACTTCTTGAGGGTTTGTTAGCAACACAGTCGGCTTCGTCTGGAGGCTCTTGCGACTCAGATGGTTGTCACTTTGGGGAGGGCACATAGCATCTCAAACAGCAAGTTGGCTGCCAGGAGTGCTGTGTTTCCTACAAAACAAACAAATAAACCAGCCTGCAGAGGCAGCTTGGTGCTTCTCCTGAACCGTAGCTTCCATTCCCCTCCCTGGCTTTCTGCCCCCACCAAGCATCACTGGAAGGAATATTCTAGAATGCAGAATGGCATGGGAGGAGTTTGATCCAGCAGTGAAGAGGCTGCCTGGGTTCCTCTCTCAGCTACACTCCCGATTCCAGCTTCCTGCTAATGGCCACCCTGGGCGGCAGCAGGGAACAGCACAGGGAGTTGGGCCCCTGCCACTCACACAGGAACCCTGCACTGAGTTGAGGCACCAACCCAGCCCAGTCGCAGCTGCTGGGGCCTCTCAAATGAGTACATCTTTGTGCACTCAAGCAAGACTCTTCCCAATGGAAAACTTACAATAATAGTGTGTCCCCTGGGCTGGCACCGTAACACAGCGGGTTAAGCCACCATGTGTAAAGCCAGCATTGCATACTGGAGTCTCTGCAACTCCACTTCTGATCCAGCTCCCTGCACATGCACCTGGGAAGGCAGCCAACGATGCGAGAGACCTGGATGGAGTTCCAGGCCCTTGGCTTCAGCCTGACCCAGCCCTGGCTGTTGTGGCATTTGTGGATTGAACCAGCAGTTTGGAAGCTCTTTCTCTCTGCCACTCTGCCTTTCAGATAAACCCTTAAAAAATAAAAATGGCATGACCTATACCAACTACCATACTAACTACTCTCAGTGGCTGGTGGGCCTAACTCTGTAAGCATTTCTATTTAATGGGCTACATCTGCTTATCCAGCTAACTCTATAAATAATACATATGCTTTGGAAATTCACTTCCCAGATACTGGCAGAGGACAGAACTCTGCCACCCTGTCTCCAGACCGACACTGACTGGTGGGGAAGCTCCTGACTTCACCACCTCCCAGGGGAGTCTTGGGACTAATTAGGTCACATCCGGGAGTGGTACACTAATGGGCTGCTTTTCTCCACCGTGAGACACTCAGCAGCTCCCCAGGGTGCGGAAGGCTAGCCCATCTGTTCTTTACACAGCAGGCAGAGGAGAAGCAACACAGCCGCCCATGGGTGGGACGGCGGCTGCGATCTACTCACCAGAAGGGTCATAGGGTGGTGAAACCTCCACAAGGTCGCAGCCCACCAAGTTCAGGCCTTGACATCCCCGGATGATCTCCAGAGCCTGTCCGAGATCAAGACGGAGTGCCCACACAGTCGTCAGTGGTGACCAGGGGCCGGCAGAAGCAGCCCCAGAGGCCCATCCGTGACAAACGGCCACCCGCCCTCCACCCAGTGAAGAACCACATACGGACTGCCAGCAACCACATACGCATCGGACTGCCAGACCTCCAGCCTAAGGAGGTGGGAGAGCCTTCCCCCAGGTGGGAACACTTTGCTCAAAGGACAGGACAAGTGCATGAGAAGGGACGGGATAATCCAGGCAGAGGGGAGAATGGAGGCAAAGACCCAATGATAGCAGAAATGCAGGAAGCTGGATGTAGCCAAGGGCAGGGTAAGTGAGGGGAGGAGCAGGGCCTTGTGTGAAAAAGGCCACCACCCCACAGGCAAGAAGCCCAGAGGGCTGATGCTAAGCAGAGGGATGAGAACTGTGGGAAATTCCTCAAGGCAGGGCAGGGCAGGTGTGGCAGCACTGAGGCACAGCAGGTCAAGCCAACACCTGCATACGGTTCCCCATATCAGAACAACAGTTCGAGTCCTGCCTGTCCCACTTCACTCCAGCTCCCTGCTGATGCACCTGGAAAGGTGGTAGAAAATGTCCCCTGCCAATCATGTGGAAGATCAAGATGTAATTGTTGGTCCTAGCTTCAGCCTGGCCCAGCCCTGACCACTGCAAACATTTGGGAGTGAGCCACTGGATAGATGATTCTCTCTCTCTGCCTTTTAAGTAAGCAAATGTGTGTGTGTATACAATAATAATAAAAAAAAGTTATTGATTTGTGTTGAAAAGTCAGATTTACAAAGAGAAAGCCACTAGGCTTTTGTGCTGTCCCCCGAAATATACTTTTTTTCTTAATGCCCCACTGTATGTGCTTTTTAAAAATCTAGCCCTAGGGCCCAGTGCAGTAACCTAGTAGCTAATGTCCTCACTTTGCATGCGCCAGGATCCCATATGAACGCCGGTTCTAATCCCCAACGGGCCTGCTTCCCATCCAGCTCATTGCTTGTGGCCTGGGAAAAGCAGCAAAGGATGGCCCAAGTGCTTGGGCCCCTTCACCCACATGGAAGACCCAGAGGAAGCTGCAGGCTCCTGGTTATGGGCTGGCCAGCTCCAGTCATTGATGCCATTTGGGAAATGAGCCGGCAGATGGAAAACCTCTGTCTATCCTTTCTGTAACTGCCATTCAAAGAAAAATTAAATATTGTCTCCATGAACTGACTATTGATAGACAGAGGCAAGGAGACCAAATGAAGCAGTGTATCCTAGAGAGGAGAGAGGCCCTTGCCCAGAGCAGGCCCCCCTCAGTAAGGGAATCTTCAGACCTACACTTGGCTCTGGGGACAGACCCTCAGTGCCCAGGTGCTCTGCTTTGAAACTCCAGCCCTGGTTCCTCCCAAGTCACAGGAGATTGCGGTATGAGGTGTCCCCACCGATGGAGCTTTCTTACCTGGCTGGGGGTGAGCCCTGCGATCTCGGGGGTTCCCGTCCCTGGGGCGTAGGCGGGATCCAAGGCATCGATGTCAAAGCTGAGGTACATGGGTTTGCCGCCCATCTGCTGCCTGACTTCCGCCATCAGAGGGACCAGCGACTTCATCCAGCAGTCTTCAGCTAGAACCACCCGGAAGCCCTGGGGAGGAAGGGGTGGAAGGGCTGGAGGCCAAGGCCATGGGGAGGCAACCGCAGTGCCCATGGTGCAGGCGACGCCGGGCGGGGCCCCGTGGGAAGGAGGAGCAGGGAGCAGACGGCAGCTCCAGCCAGCCTCTTCCAGGCATTGGGCCTTTCCACCAAGCTCTTGTCCACTGTGTTCCCCAGGGAGTATGTGCTAGTAGCTATGAGGAGGAGGAGGAAGAGGCAGGCAGCAGCTTAGCGTGAGTGCTTGGCACAGTGGGACACACACTTCCCACACCGAGAAGGCCCGGGCTCCAGGTCCCTGTTCCGCCTTTTTTAACGTCCATTTAATAAGAAGTTAAGTTTGATTTATTTATGTAAAAGGTAGAGTTACAGAGAGGGATCTTCCATCCACTGGTTTACCCCCAGCTGGCCACAATGGCCAAGAGTCAGGAGCTTCTCCCGGGCCTGCCACATGAGTGGCAGGGGCCAAGCACTTAGGCCATCTTCTGTTGTTTTCCCAGGCACGTTAGCAGGGAGTTGGATTGGGATTGGAAGGGGAGCAGTCAGGACTCGAACCAGTGCTCATGAGATGCTGACATCACAGGCGGTGACCTATCCTATTGTACCACAGCACTGGCCCACTTCTGATCCAGCTTCCCACAAATGCACACCCTGTAAGGCAGCCAGCAATGTAATGTAATGGCCCCTGCTCCCCACGTGGGAGATGGAGATTGAGATCTTGGCTTCTGACTCTGGCCTGGCCATGCCCTGGCTGTGAACCAGCACATGAATGAATTCTGTCTCGCTGCTTTCCAAATAAAATGATAACAAATGTAAGAGTTTCTAAGACAGTAGCAAGTCCCCTTAAGTTCAGATTCACTCCTACTTTTCCAAGCTAACAAAGGCCAAGAGGTGGGCTGCTCTGTGCTGGTCTCCGTGCCCCGGCTACAGACCTCATCCACCTCCTCACTCTTGGCTCCACTCAACCATCTTGCTGCAAACTCAGCCTCTCATCCCCCTCCTTCTGCACTCGATTAGTAACCCCTGGAATCCACAACAGCCACAGCAAGTGGTAGAGAGAAATGTCTTTGAGGGGCAGAGGGCAGGGAACTCCAAGTATCACCTGGCTCCTGTTGTATCTGTAGGGGTCCAAGGTCATGGAGGAGCCCCGGATGCCGATCTGCACCACACGCCGACAGTCCAGGAGGCCCTCGTCCACGCACCGGCGGAATGGCGTCCCATGGTACAGCTTCTCTCCCAGGGCCTTGTCGGCTGTGTCCGTGTGCGCATCCACGTGCAGCAGCCCCACGGGGCCATGCCTGGTGATGAGCAGGAACCTCAGAGCTCAGGGACCTGACCTCCCAACAGGGCCCTAGCACAGCAGTCCACAGGCCACCAAGAGGGAAGAGCTGGCAGCAGTCAGCCGCCAGGCAAGTGGCTTCTGTCTTCCTATTCCAGAAGTAAAGCAGCAAAAAACACAAGGGCCTTGGCTGCCTCTGGGCACCCAGCATCCAGAATTGGCTTCCCTTATAGAGCACAAGGGGCAGGAGTGAGGCACAGAGACTCAGAGATGAGTTTGGCTAAAGGCTGGACCAACAACCTAGCCCTTTTCTCTAGCTGTGACACCAGGGAGCAGCTCTGACCCAGCTCTGTCTCCATAAACTCCATCAAGCCCTGCCAGCTACAACCCAGTGTAAACATTGCAACCAACCCAACTGGAGGCCAGCATCCCTGTGTCCACCTGTCCCCAACCAGCATTTGCCTTGCTTATATGCAGAGCCTGCAGCTGCCTCCCCATCTTGGCCCTTCAATTGCTTCCCAAAGGAAGGCAGCCAGAGTGGCTGCAGCTCTAGCTGAGTGCCAGCACTGAGCAGTCTTTTCACTATCTGGGAAGACAGCCCTCGCAGGAGAACACAACCCTTCAGCAAGCTCCTCTGCAACACTTGTGTATTTGTCTTTGTTTTGGAAAAAGGAGCAGGTGTTTGGGCGCAGCACATGAGGCTGCCACCAGGGACACCTACTTCCATACTGAGGTCAAGTCCCACTTCCGACACAACTTCCTGTTTGTATGCCTGAGAGGCAGTGGATAATGGCCCAAAACCTTGGGACCCTGCACGCATATGGGAGACCCAAAAGAAACTCCTGGCTCTTGGAGGAGTGAACCAAAAGATGGAAGATCTTTCTCTCTCTCTTTCTTCCTGGAAATCTGCCTTTCCAATAAAAAGAAATAAATCTAGAAAGAGAGAGAGAGAGATGAAGAAAGGAAGCCAGCAGATGATTTCTGCCCCAGTTGTTTGGCCTTTCAAATCAATCAATCAACTTATGAAACATTCATGCAAAATGGAATTAAAAGATACATTTATTTTCAGTAAAAACAATTTTGAAATCAATGCATATGGGAGTCTTCAAAAAGTTCACAGAAAACAAAAAAGCAAGGATTTTGCACCAAAATAAATGCATTGTGTCACTCATTCTCCCTGCATTTTATGAAATGCCTTTCTACTGGGAAGGCAAAACCGGAGTGAGGGAGAGTTGTGCCTTCAACGGGGCTCATCTTCCACAAACAGAGGTGCTGCCAACACCGAGCCTGCACAGCCAAGCAGATCCAGGGCAACAGAAGGGACCAGAGGCGCTCCTAGACACGGTGTGGGTATCAAGCCAGTGACTGACAGAGACACCTGGAGGGCGACCTTCATTCCGACTCACAGTCAGGAATAATCTTTCATTCCCAGTAACAGAAGCCTGTCACCGGCTGGTATCCAGTGGCAAGCAACTCACGCCCACACTCCTGCTTTTTTGTTTTTTGTTTTTTTTTTTTCTTTGAGAGAGAGAGACGGAGACCACACTCCTGCTTTTCTGTTTTTTTTTTTTTTTTTTTCTTTGAGAGAGAGAGATGGAGAATTAGAGAGAGGTCTTCCACCTGTTGATTCACTCCCACAATAGTCAGAGCTGGACCAGTCCTAAGCAAGAGACAAGAGCTTCTTCTGGGTCTCCCACCTGGGTGCAGGGGCCCAAGACCTCAGGCCATCTCCTGCTGCCATTCTCATCACAGTAACCAGGAATCGGATTGGAAGGGAGCAGCCAGAATTCAAACCAATGCCCACGTATGATGCTGGGAGTGCAGGTGGCACCTTCTATGCCACAGCACTGGTCCCATTCCTGCGTTATTAAACCTCAGTAGGTCAAGCCCCTTAGAAATTACATTTTTGGGAACCAGTGCAATGGCTCAACTTGCTAATCCTCCACATGCAAGCACCAGCATCCCATATGGGCACCAGTTCATGTCCTGGCTGCATCACTTTCTATCTAGTGCCCTACTTACAGCTTAGGAAAACATCAGAGGATGGCCCAAAGCCTTGGGACTCAGTACCTGTGTGGGACACCCAGAAGCAGCTCCTGGTACCCAGCTTCAGATTGGCTCCGCTCTGGCCATTACAGCCATGTAGGGAGTGAACTAGCAAATGGAAGATCTTTCTCTGCATCTCTCCTTCTCTCTGCAAATCTGCCTTTCCAATACAAATAATGAAAAAGAAAAAAAAACAAACTTACTTTTCTGCCATCGCTTGTAAAATGGGATACGTGATTGTGTGATCTCCACCTGCAAAGAGGAAAAAAGAAAACATGGAACGTGGATAAGGTGATTCCCTAGTACAATCTTAAATCCACCCAACTGGACTGAAAGAACAAAACCATAAGAGCAGACACTGGCGCAGCAGTGAGTCCGGGCTGCTAGACTTCCCCCCAGCTCCCTGCAGCAGAATGGCCCAAGTGCTTGGGCTCCTGCCATCGTGTGGGAGACCTGGCTTTGACTTGGCCCAGCCTTGGCTGTCATGGCCATTTGCAGAGTAAGCCAACAGGTAGATGGAAGATCTCTCTGCTCAGAAATCCAATGTTCAAAATCAGAATTTTTTTTTAAGATTTGTTGACTTTTTTTTATTGGAAAGGCAGATTTACAGAAAGAAGGAGAAACAGACAGAAAGATCTTCTGTCTGCTGATTCACTCCCCAAGTGCCCACAATGGCCAGAGCTGAGCCGATCCAAAGTCAGGAGCCAGGAACTTCTAGGTCTCCCACCTGGGTGTGGGGTCCCAAGGCTTTAAGCCATCCTTCTCTGTTTTCCCAGGCCACAGGCATGGAGCAGCTGGGATACAAACTTGCCCATATAGTATCCTGGTGGATGCAAGGCAAGAATTTAGCCACTAGGCTGTCATGCCAGGCCCCAGTATAATTTTTTTTTAAGATCTATTTTATTTATTTGAAAAGCAAAGTTTTATACAGAGAAGAAATAGAGAATTTCCAACTGCTGGTTTACTTCCCAGATGGCCACAACAGCTGGGGTTGAACTGGGCAGAAGCCAGGAGCTTCTTCTGGGTCTTCCACATAGGTGCAGGAGCCCAAGCAATCAGACCATCTTCCACTGCTTTCCCAGGTACACTAGCAGGAAACTGGATCAGAAGTAGAACAGCCAGGACCTGAAATGGCACATGTATAGGATGCTGGCACTGCAGGCACTGCAAACAGTGGCTTAACCAGGTATACCACAATGCTGGCCCCAAAATCAATACGTTTTTGGTACAAGAATTTTGAAAACTAAAGTCAGTGCAGTGGGCCAGCACTTAAGACCCTGCCCAGGACACCTGCATATCCTATCAGAGTGCCCGGGTTCAAGGCCTGGCTCTGCTTCCAGTCCTAGCTTCCTACCAGAGCATACTCCAGGAGGCAACACGTCATGAATGAAGTAGTCGGTTCCCACCACCTACTCGGAGACCCAGATTGAGTCCCAAGTTCCTGGTTCCATCCTGGTCCAACCATGGCCATGGCAGGTATCTGGAAGTGAACCAGTGAATGGGAAATCAAGCTTTCTCACTCTCTCTTTCTGTCTTTCAAATAAACAAACAAAATTTAAGTCAATGTAGAAAGAAAAATCATGATCAGCAAAATCATCTAATTGTTTTAGAGAGATGCATCAATAATTACGATGTTCTAAGCTATGTGGGAGCCTGACCCCAAAGGAAAAGGCAGTAATGCTTCATTGCTCTCATAGATATATAGATATATACACATATATATGACAAGCAATAGAAATAACATCACATTTATTTTTCTTTCTTCCAATGAAGATGGTTAAAAAAAAATGCCTTTTGACTTCCAACATTCTTGACATCCCTTCCATCTTACACTAAGCCACGTGCCTCACATGCAATCCCGCCTGGCTCACGGGCCAAGCTAATGCTGAATGTTAATGATCCTTTCCCCCAGGGATTGAAAAGAACTAATTAGAATGTTCTCATTCTAGGCTGGCATCATGGCATCAAAGCAGATTAAACCACAATCCTCATCACTGGCATCCCAAATTGGAGAGCCAGTTCCAGGACTGGGCAGCTCCACTCTCAATAGAGCGAATGAGCCTAGAAAATCAGCAGATGGTGGCTCAAGTACTTGGGCCACTGTTGCCCATGTAAGAAGCTTGGATGGAATTCCAGGATCCTGGCTTTGACCTGGCCCATCCCTGCTGTTATAGACATTTCAACCAGTATGTGGGCAGATGGGAGATCTGTCTTCTTCTTTCTCTCTCATTCTGTCTTTCAAATAAATACATTTCCTTTTAAAAGATGTTCTCTTTCTTTTTCCCTGCTGTAAACACTATTTTCAATTAACCTACAGCAAATTGAAGATATTGGTATGCAACGATATCCATTTTTTTGATGGTTTATTTTTCATGTACTTGAAAGGCAGTGCAAGAGAGAGACAGAGATCTGGCAGGCACTGAGTCACTCCCCAAATGCCTGCAACAGCCAGGCTGAGCCAGGCTTCAAGCCAAGAGCACAGAACTTCCCTGGGGCAGGCAGGGGGCCCAAGTCCTAGAGCCGCCACTTGCTGCTTTGAGAGTGCAATTAGCAGGAAGCTGGATCAGAAGTGAAACAGCTAGGATTCAAACTGCACTCTACACAAGATGCAGGCATCCCAGGGGGGCTATAAGCATACTGCCCACCCCGATCTCCATCTCCCTGGTGGTCAGCCTTGAAGATGCAGGTGTACTCAAGCTCACAAATGTGGAGGACCACACTTGGCTGGCAAGGGGCCATTACCCAGAGTCAGAGGAACACAGCCAGCGGCAACAATTTTCTGGTAGGCCTCTCGGATGAGCCGGCAGCTGTCCTGAAGGTTGTAGAGATTGACATGCACGTCGCCCAGGTCGGCGACCATGAGGGACTGGAAGGGGAGGGCACCGGTGCTGGGGTTGACTGTCCTCAACATCACAGATTCCTCCCGGATGCGTCGGGGGCCGAATCTGCAGGAAGAAGATACCGGCATCAGGCACCTGCAGACACTGTCAGGGTCCCCAGGCCAAGGTTGCTCAGCTTTGGCTCTGTTGCCATGGGGCAGGAGACTCCTGGAGACTGCTAGGCAGTACCATCCCAGGCCATACCCCCATGAGGTCACCAACACCTGTCCCCAAGCTGTGACAACCAATACTGCCTCCAGACAGAACCAGATGTCCCCTGGGCCCAAAAGCCACACCCCTCCCCTGAGAAGCACTGAGCTGGGCTGTATATTAAAAAAATGAGGACCTGATGTGGTGACCTAGCAGCTAAAGTCCTTGCCTTTCATGTGCTGGGATTCTATATGGGCACCGGTTCTAGTTCAGGCAGTTCCACTTCCCATCCAGCTCCCTGCTTGAGGCCTGGGAAGTCAGCTGAGGACAGCCCAAAGCCTTGGAACCCTGCACCCACGTGGGAGACCTGGAGGAGGCTCCAGGTTCCTGGCTTCAAATCAGCACAGTACCAGCTGTTGCAGCCGCTTAGGGAGTGAATCATCAGACAAAAGATCTTCCTTCCTTCCTCTCTGAATATATGCCTTTCCAATAAAAATAAATAAATCTCTTTTTAAAGTAATAAATAAAAAATAGATGAAAGGCATCATTTTAAATTTTATTTGTGGGCCCAGTGTGTCCTCGCTTTGCCTGTGCCAGGATCCCATGTGGTCACCGGTTGATATCCTGGCTGCTCTACTTCCCTTACAGCTCCTTGCCTGTGGTCTAAGGAAGCAGTCCAGGACAGCTCAAAGCCTTGGGCCCCGGTGTGGAAGACACAGAAAAAAGTCTGCATTTGAAAGAGCAAGAGAGCCAGACAGAGAATCTTTCAGCCCTTGGTTCATTTCCCAAGTGGCTGAAACAGCCAGAACTGTCAGGCTGATGGCAGGAGCCTGGTGGAGGCTGAACAGGAGTTTCCTACATGGATGGCAGGGTCTCACCACTTGAGCCATTATGTGCAACCCTGCCCCCCAGGATACTTTCACAGGAAGCTGAACTGGAAGCAGAGGTGCCAGAACTTGAGCTGGGATGTAGGCATACTAGGCAGTGGATTGACTCACTGTGCCATGACACCTGTCTCACCAAGCACGGCTTTAGCAGCCCACTCATCATCAATTGAAGAAATGGCCTCATCAATTTCTTCATCTCTAAAGATATAATAAAGCTGTGCGCCTGATGCTGCCGTTGCGAGAGACGAATGACCCAGGCAAAGTTCCCCGCATCTGGCAGACCTTCAATCCACAATGACTTTCCTAAACCAGAGCAGTACGGTCAGCGGCAGGGCAGCTGAGCTGAATCACAAATCCTCCACGCGCAGCGCAAGCACATGCCACTATAACACCGGCTAGGACGCACAACTCCCCCGTGCGTGGGCCCGCGGCCGGGCTGCAGCTCAGGACTCCCAAATTCCTACGGATGAGAGCCGCCCACGCCTCTCTCTGCATCCTTCACCCTGGTCCTTCACGCCTTACCTCGCCCCCGGCCGATTGGAAGTCCCAATGTCCAGCGGCACCCCGATGAAGGCGGCGTCCAGGCCCTCGGGGGAGGTCTGCAGGGGCAGCCGCATCATGGAGCAGACGCCCACCGAGCGGGCCACGACCTCGGAGCTGGGGGGCAGGTTCCGGGGGCCATCAGAAGCCCGGCGACTGGAGCTATACCTGGGGTGGCAGGGTCCCGCGGCGGGACGCACGTCCACGCGGGCCCTCAGTCCGCGGGCTGAGCCGGACGCCAAAAGCCGCAGCATGCCGATGGCAGCCCCCAGGGTCCAGCCGCGTGTGCCGCCAGGGTTCAAAGGGCAGAGGCGGCATGGGGATCCAGGGCGGGGGTGGGATCAGAGGAGGAGCTCTGGGACGCACGCTCTCCCCACGGCCCTCTGCGGACTTCAGCCCTGGACTCCCAGCTTCTGAGCACCCCCATTGTTTAAGGTATGCCTTGAACCCTAACCCAGCCCTTGGCAGCCTCTTCTGAGTTTCATTTTCAAAGGTGGGAAGATTTGGAAGCTAAAGACCTTCCTTGAAGCCACAGAAATGACAAATGCATTTTTAATTTTGAAATAATAATAATGCATTCAAGAAATGCCTACAGCGGGACTCTCTAAATGTTCTTTTTAACAACCTATTTAAAAGGCGAGTTGGAGGGCTTGGGGTGGTGGCCTAGCAGCTAAAGTCCTCTCTTTGAAAGCACCCGGATCCCATATGGGTGCGGGTTCTAATCCCAGCAGCCCCATTTCCCATCCAGCTCCCTGCTTGTGACCTGGGAACCCTGCATCCACGTGGGAGACCTGAAAGGGCTCCTGGCTTCGGATCAGTTCAGCTCTAGCCACTGCAGCCGCTTGTGGAGTGAAACAGAGGATGGAAGACCCTTCACTGTGTAAACCTGACTTTCTCATAAAAATAAGTAAAGCTTTTTAAAAAGTGGGGGTGGGGGACACAAAACAAAACCTGACAGTTATCCATGACATTAGCATGGAAATTGAAATCAGGGGGGAAAAAGCCAAGGAACAGGCCCCCACCCCACAGGGGAGGCTCTGGGTTCAATCCCCAGCTTGGCGTCTGACTCCAGCTTCTTACAGCTGTGGGCCCTGGCAGGCAGTGATGGTGAGTTTAACTAGGTTGCAGACATTAGCATGGGAGATCCAGCCTGAATATGCAGCTCCCTGCTGATGGCCCGGGAAAGCAACAGAGGCTGCACCAATGAGGGAGACCCTGGGTCCTGGCTTCAGCATGGCTTACCTCCAGACATTTTAGTTTGGGGGGTGAACCAGTGTGTGGAAGATTGCTTTTTCTTTGTTGCTCTACCTTTCAAATAAAAGTAACCTGAAGAAGGAAGGAAGGAAGGAAGGAAGGAAGGAAGGAAGGAAGGAAGGAAGGAAGGAAGGAAGGAAGGAAACATTAATTAGCAAATTAACTCTGGTTTCATCAGCGTTCTCCCAATCGTTGACGACACTCTGCCCCCTCCCTTCTCCCAGGTCCAGGGTGGAGATGCTGTGAGCCTCCCCTGACCACCGTGTTTCTCTTTGATTTGCTGTCTGTGCATTTTCATTCTATTAATTTCATAATGTGTTTGTTTAGCAGAAAGGTATTCCATGTTTTTATTAAGAGGGAAAATGCCCATCTGAATAGAGGAGTCTGGGTGTTTAGTAATTCATGCTGTGGGCGACACCAGACCCCAAGTGTTTCACACCAGCCTCCAAGGGGGTGGGCAGGGGAAATCTTCCCCCCACGTTTGAGCAAGCAAGACAGATAAAACACTCCATGTGCTATACTGGATGGTCCCTGGTTGAGGTCCCTTGGCCAGTTGTGACTGCTAGCATATCTTGTTACAAGTTGTTTGATGGTTTCTCATCTGCATCTGAGTTGCTGTCTGCATATACAGGAGCCCAAGGTGCTGGTGTGTCTCAGCTCAATAAATTCCCAATTAGTGTTAACATTATTTACCCAGCATCCTGATGGTGTCATCACTGCAATGCCCAGCATGTTAGCATGACTTATAACCCGAGGCACCACTGCGCTGACATCCAGTCAGGGAAGCTTGATTAGCATGGCAACCCAAGCAGTGTGGCCTTCCAGCATGTGAGATGTGTGTGTCCCAAGCTTCGTCTAAATGGCTGTGTCTAGGGCCCACCCCTATGATGCTCTCAGTGGTGCACCCCATCCAGTCCCCACAGAAACAACCACTAATGGTGTTTTAGAGTCTGAATAGGGTCCATAAGTGAGGGTTGAGTTGTTCCTGGTTTCAGCCTGGCATAGCCATGGCTGTTGTGGGCACTTGGGGGAGTCAAATCAGCTGGCTCCATCTCCCTGCCTTGCAAACAGGTAAATAACTAAAACAAACAGAAAAAAAAAAACCCCACTAGTCTTTATTGCATGTCACTTCAAGCATATAACCTAACATTAAACAGTAGCATTCCCAGCAGAGATCTATTAAAGGTATTTTATTTAGGAATTTCATGTCAACTCAACATTTAATGCTTTCCCCCAACACTTTGATTTTATTGTTCAAAGCCACAACCATAAACGTGTGGAAAATGCCATTTGTCCACCAAATCTCTGACAGCCATCCCTAGATCCCCACCATCATTGTTTCCTCTGTGTGCCTAACAAGGAAAAGGGGCGGGGCGGGGGAGGGCGCTGCTATTGTAAATGACAACTTCAGCCTCCAAGGGCCGTGCGTTGCAAGGAAGTAGTAAAAGTGTTGTGAGTGAGTGAATGATTGGCCAACTCTTCAGGAACCACAGAGAGCAGCCCTGCCATGACAATGTCAATCAACAAGCGTGATAGCCAAAGAACGTGGGAGAACGCCACCTGCCCTCTAAGCCAGGTGGAGGCCCAGGGATTCCCCAGGAGGTCAATGCTTTGAACATGCCTGTGCTTGGGAAAGTTTGACCATGGCCTTGCAGCAACTCCAGCCTCAGCAACATGAGTAGAAGGGGACTTTCTGGGACATTCCATCGGCCTGGTTCCATCTGCTTTGCTTTCTTTGTCCCCTAGGGACAGTTACTTTCTTTCCAGAACATCTCACAAGAGGCTCCACAGCTTCAAGTTTCTGTTATCTCCCACACTGCCGCCTGGGGGAACTGGCTTCCAGTGTGCAATTTTTTAGAAACAAACCACATGCAAACCGTAATATTGTGAACACTTTCATCAGTGAAGGGGGGAAGTGCTCAGTGATACTTGTTAGAGTTTGGAAGACTATTCAGAACTGCAACAATAGGCCCAGGGGTGTGGTAGTGCAGATGGAGTGGGCTCAGCTCAACCGTGTGACAAGTGGGAATTTATATCCATGGGTCAGCGGATGGGAAATGGCCAAGGGAAAGCACCAAGACGACCTTGGGAGTCTGACTACACGGGATTCTTGGTGCAAACAGTAAGGGTGAGTGGAAAAATGGAGGATGAGGAACTGGTCAGCTCTGCAGGAGGATTGGCTCCCACGGGTCGGGAGCTTTTGTGAAACTGACTTTATTCAGACTGTGTGTATAAACACGTGCACCTGTGGACAACTGGCCAGTTCTTCAGTCAACAGGGCATTGTACGCACATACGCATACGGGGCTGCCTCCAGCAATGACGTCATAGTAAAACCTAGGTGATAACAGAGAAATTACCTGAGCAGGAGTCTGCCTGGCTTGTCACAGGAACATCTGGAGCCTGACCCATCCCACTGTTTTCTCATCCACAGGCCAAGTGGTTGGCCCTGTCTGCCTCTGCAGTCTAAAAGGAGCCCCTGCCCCACCCCGCCCCGGCAAGAGAAAAGGAGATCAGCCATGGCGAGATGAACCCAGTGAGCGCAGAGGACCATGACTCTGTAGTTTAGGGTCAAGCCAGGAGAGAGCACAGAAAAATCCGGCTTAATCATCTGACAAAGAAGCCAATCTGAAGCCAGGAGCTTCTTCTGGGGTTTCTCATGTGGATGCAGGTCCCAAGCTTTGGCGCTATCTTCCATGGCTTTCCCAGGCCACAGACTGGGAGCTGGATGGGAAGTGCAGGAGCCAGAACACACAACGGTGCCCACGTGCAATGCTGGCTCTTGCAACATGAGGATGTATCCGCTGAGCCATAAGTCGTTATTTCTTTTCTTTTCTTTTTTTTTTTTTAAGAGCTATGTATTTTTGGGCCCGGCATGGTGGCCTAGTGGCTAAGGTCCTTGCCTTCAACACACTGGGATCCCATATTGGCGCCGGTTCTAATCTCGGCAACTCCACTTCCCATCCAGCTCCCTGCTTGAAGCCTGAGAGGGCAGTAGACGTCAAAGCCTTGGGACCCTGCACGCGCATTGGAGACCTGGAGGAAGTTCCTGGCACCTGGCTTCGGCTTGGCGCGGCACCAGCTGTTGCGGTCACTTGGGGAGTGAATCATTGGACAGAAAATCTTCCTCTCTGTCTCTCCTCCTCTCTGTATATCTGAATTTGCAATTAATAAAAAAGAGTTACTTATTTTTATTGGAAAGGCGGATATACAGAGAAGAGGAGAGACAGAGAGAAAGATCTTCCATCCGATGATTCACTCCTGAAGTGACTGCAGTGGCAGAAGCTGGAAGCCCAAGCACCAGGACCATCACCCCTGCCTGCCATGGTGTGCAGGTAGCTGGAGCCAGAAGCTAAACCCTGGAAGTGAAGCCAGGACCCCCAACCTGGGACTTGTACCTGCTGTCTAAAGTGGATCCAGTCCTAGGGAATGGAGCTGTGAAACCTGTAGGATGGGACACAACGTCCAGGCAGATGGCATGGGGGTTAGCTTAAACAGCTGGTGTCTGCAGAGACACATCAAGTGGCACAGTATGGACAAGCCCCATGTGATAGGAGGACATAGTATTCTGCAAGTAGGGAAGGTAAGGAGTTTTCTCCCTTAATAAAAACAGATCGGTAATAAACATGCGTTGTACCAAGGAAATGTCCACCATAATCTGCTCCTACCCAATTAGTTACATTCCAACACATGTGAGCCTTTTGTAAGAAAAAAAAAATATATATATATATATATATTTATTGCAAAGTCAGACATACAGGGAGGAAGATCTTCTGTCCGATGATTCACTCCCCAGGTGACCGCAATGGCCGGTGTTGTGCCGATCCAAAGCCAGGAACTTCCTCCCGGTCTCCCACGTGGTTGCAGGGTCCCAAGGCTTTGTCTTCCACTACCCTCCCAGGCCACACCAGGGAGCTGGATGGGAAGTGGAGCTGCTGGGATTAGCAGGATCCCGGTGCATTCAAGACAAGGACTTTAGCCACTAGGCCACTGTGCCAGGC